ATAAAGTTTCTGCGGCTGACACCTGCTCTCGTCGCGAGAGATATTTGGTGAGCACAAAATCTCCGCAGCAGCAGTCAGGTGGCAGCTGCAAAGGACAGGTGGAGGAGTCGAATTACAATTTCGAAATTTATGCAACCCGATACCGAGCGACTTCTACTCGTTAGATTAGGGCGATTCCCCGCCTTGCAGATGCGTCCCCGTCCGCAACGTAAAAAGCGCGATGATCTAAGCTATATTTTAAGAATTACACCTGTCGATTCGTTAGGGAAGCTGCTTGGAATCGTTACGTCTCATTACCGATTTTACCACCGAAATAATGACGTGGCGTAGACACACGTAAAATTAGACCGGAAGGCAGGACGACTGCGCCAATCATTCGAATTCCTGCACAACCGGGATAAATTATAAATCTTCAACTAATGGGTTATAATAATTCTGAAAATACCACGAGCACACGGCAGCGGACGCATCGGCGAAACGAGCTCTGTCCGCGATGCGCGCGAACGGCAATTAACAGCTTCGCTACCGACGAACTCGCATCCAGACGCCGTTTTCTCGCGAGCTCGCGACGATTTCCTTCGTCGTCTCGAGCCGATTGCTTCCGAGGTTCTCGCAGGCTCGGAAATTCCGTCTTTGATCGAAGCGGCGAGAAGAGGCGTCCCTTCGGCGAACGAATTACTACAGGCCGTAATAATCGGCGGTTTCAGCGCGGGCTCCCGTTCGCCGCGGCGTGCTAATCTCCAGGTGCGACGGGACCACTGGACGACGCTGCTGCAACGATAATAATACCGGCGTCACCGTCGCGTTGTCAACGCCGCAATGCCGGATTTACAGTTGGGGCCATTAGACGACGGCGGAAATTGCGAGCGCTTCTTCCCGGAACGCGCGGGTTTCTTATCCACCCGGCCGATGATATCCCGATTGGCCACGGCTTATCACTCGCTGATGCGACAGCTTTTCGCGGAAGCGAATCTTTCGCCCCGTCGTCGCGGCGCTTCCCCCCCCCCCTCCCTCTCTCTCTCTCTCTCTCTTCCACAGGATGGGAGCGGGAGGGATTTTAATGGGACGAGTCAAGGCCGTCGTTCGCGCGGAGTTTAGCGACTCCTCTCTCGCGTCATCGTGATTATGCCTTTCGCGACGTGCGAGGAGTTGCGATACGCGATACGATCGCCGGATGTAACGGTGCCCGAACGTGTTTTCCCGATTAAACGCGCTTGTATATATATATATCTACGGTATGAAAACTGGTATAGATGGTTCGACGATAGCTCGCTCGGCGATGAAATCGATACGATCTTCGCGGTCTTCTCTCACGGATGGAACGCGACAACATTTCCAGATATCGTTTCGCGTCTCGGCTATCTCGCTCTGAAAAAATTCTCCCTAATTACATTTCTCCTAACGCGCTAAATCGCATGTATCGGGGGGGGGGGAATGCGCGCAGGTCGCGCGGCCAGCGAGGAGCAACGCGCGCGCGTTCCTCCGGAGCGGAGAAGTCGTCGCGCGGAACGATAAAACTCGCGAGATAGCGACGTCTGTCAGAGATTAGATTGCTAATTGAGCAGAGAGGAAATCTCGAAATCGCGGAGCGATCGTTGACCCGCATCTGCTCGTATCGCGCGCGATAGCTGCGCGCGATCGTGAAACCGGCTACGTCGCGGCGGGCGTCGCGGCCCTCTCCTCTTTGTCCGACGGCGTCGTGCAGGGAGCATTAGCTTCGCGTCCATAACAACCGGTAATTAGAACGTAGATAACAACTCGATCCAATTGAGAACGGTCACTCGCTCTTAGTCGCGCTCGTATCTGCCAACCTACATAATACCGATAGGCCTCTCACCTGCGATCGCCTGATTCTCGGTCCCCCAAGGCGTCCTCTCCGTGACTCTCTCTTTCCGCCCCCTCGTGTTTTCTTTTGTCCTTACCCGCCCGGTGATAAAACTTCGTGGCTGAGATAACAGTGAAACTTCTTCGCAGAAATTTTACAAGAAATCCCCGGCTCTAACGCTCATTCTTGAAAATTCATTTTCCGCATACCGATTTCTCGATAATCAATTTCTTGCCCTCGTGCATGAGCGGCGCGGTAGCGCCGCCTGGACAACAGGACGACGGAGAGTAAGAGCGAGAGGAGAAATACTGACGCTGCATTCCAACTTCCATCCCATTCCCGAGCATCGCGCTCTGTGGGATACCACCGGGTGATACAATGGTCACTAATGATGCTTACTGTGACGCCTGTCGAGCGGTTCTTTCGTGCCACATCTATCCCTTGACCCGGCGAAACCGTCTCCCACCGTGTCGCCTTTAACGGATGTCCGAAAAATATTTTTCCTCACGCGAGGCCCGCGTCCCTTCCATTCTCTCTTTCTCTTAGGCGCGCGTGCACTTTCCCATCTTCGGACATAACGTACGGCCGACGGCTTCCCACGCAAACGTTTCTGCCTTGCACGCGCATTGATTTCCCTCTCGGTCATTGCGTCTACCATACGTCGCGTCGCCGATCCTTCCTATAGTTGTACGCGCGCCTTCATAAAGAGGGCATAGATACGGGGACGAATAATCGGGTCGTTTGAAAACTCCGGTGCATATGATCCGCTGCATCAGCATCGAACGAGATCCGGGGACAGGGAAATGGGCGCCGGCGTTCGTGGCCGTTATCGGCGCCAAAGCTCTCTGCTTCCGAGGAATGCGCGCGGCACTTCCTTGAGCGGCAAGCTCTTTACGTAATAAACGCACAAGTGCTTTCACTACCGCTGCTCGAATTTAGGCCCGTGAGCATAGGTGCATTGCCCCAACGAGACTTTCTAGCGGTTGTTTAGATTGTCGGATTACAGCGGGTTCGTACTCGCGTGGGATAAGATTTCGTTCCCTCGACCGCGTCTCGCCAAACGTTTATTTGCGTTGACGTAAATACCACCCCAAATGTTGGTGCTTATTTCCGTTCTCACACAGCAGCCTCATCGAAAAATCGCGGTCTCGCTTGGCGAAACTGGTCTCGGGGAAAATTAGAATGAACGAAGAGAGCCGCGAAGACACCCTCTCCAAACATTTAGTTGCACTGATGTAAAGACCACCCCAAATGTTGGTGCTTATTTCCGTTCTCACACAGCAGCCTCATCGAAAAATCGCGGTCTCGCTTGGCGAAACTGGTCTCGGGAAGATTAGAATGAACGAAGAGAGCCGCGAAGACACCCTCTCCAAACATTTAGTTGCACTGATGTAAAGACCACCCCAAATGTTGGTGGTTATTTCCGATCTCACACAGTAGCCTCATCGAAAAATCGCGGTCTCGCTTGGCGAAACTGGTCTCGGGGAA